GTTGGCGAGGGGGTTGGGTTTTAGCTTAATGCATGAGTTCAATTTGGCTATCTCCGTCAGCAAATTCCTTAATATATTCCGTCACACTTGCTTAAAAAAAAATTCTTTTTATAAATTTAAAACTTTAATAGTGAAATTTAAGTATTGATTTTTAAAATAATTTTTAAGTTTTGAGAAAACTATATATATATATAACATTTTTTAACTTCATTTTAAAATACCTTAACGTCAATTTTTAAATTTCTTTTCAATCAAATTTTAAATTTGTGAAAAAAAAAAAAAAACCTTTTACAGTAAGTGTTGTCGAACACTTTCTTAAGCGGATTTGGGACCTGATCAAATAATTATCACTCTCTACAACAAGAGGGGGCTTTAGAGTTGAACTACAAGAAATAAGCTCTTTAAACTCACTTTTTATAGATTGGTAGTCATTCAAGAATTATCTTGCAATCAATGTAAATTAAGAATAAGCTCTTTAATTGAAATAGAAGTAATTTTACTTTAATTAGCCTTTTTAAATATTAATCATGTGATTAGAAAGTAAAAATTACTTATGTTTAGTTACGTGTTTAAAGTTCAATCTTTAATATCTCCGTAACAAATTGAAAAAGAAGCAGAGTAGCATTTAATGTCATTCTACTTCACCCAATTTTCTCCTGCAAGGAAAAACCATATGAAATTCTTATGTGATGAAGGATTTCAACATATTCATAAATTTTAATTTGAACCCAACGGCTATGTAATGTATTAAAACTAAGCATAACATCTCGTGAAACCAAGAGCTCTTCCTTCGGCTCTCAAGAAAACCCAAAACCCTCCCTTTCCTCTTCTCTCTCTGCCACAACCAAAGAATCCTCGTGATGAAGAGCTCTTAGATTTCACGAGTCTCATATTCTCTCTGCGACCGTTTTTGAACTCTCTTTGTCTCCTTCAAATACCCCGTTCCTCGGCGAAATCATGCATCGGAATCCCACCATCACCATCTTCTTTACCTGTTTCCATGGCAACTAAAGTACAGCTTTTCTGTTTAACCCTTTTTCTCTTCTTAGTTTCCCACAATGCAAACACTCTCCAAACCTACATAGTTCAGCTGCACCCACAGGGGACAACCAGATCATCTTATCCCACCAGGCTTCACTGGCATTTGTCGTTTCTTCAGCAAATTGTTTCTAACGAAGAGGATGCCTTTTCCCGTCTTCTTTACTCTTACCGGTCTGCCATGGAAGGGTTTGCAGCTCAGCTCAGTGAAACAGAACTACAAACCTTGCGAAGTTCACCTGATGTCATTTCGGTTAGGCCAGACAAGCAGCTCCAAGTTCATACTACTTACTCCTATAAGTTCTTGGGACTTGACACTAGTGGAGATGGTGCTTGGTATCAGTCTGGATTTGGACGTGGAACCATTATTGGGGTGCTTGACACTGGAGTTTGGCCTGAGAGTCCGAGCTTTGATGATGAGGGAATGCCTCCTGTCCCCAAGAAGTGGAGAGGGATTTGTCAAGCAGGGCAGAATTTCAGTTCTTTGAACTGTAACCGGAAACTGATCGGTGCCAGGTTCTTTATAAAAGGCCACCGAGTGGCTTCAGTCTCTCCATCAGCAAACATGATTCAGGAATATGTATCACCCAGAGATTCCACTGGACATGGAACCCACACATCATCAACAGCAGGAGGAGCTTCTGTTCCAACGGCAAGTGTGCTCGGGAATGGTGCTGGAGTGGCGCGAGGAATGGCTCCTGGTGCCCACATTGCGGTGTACAAAGTTTGCTGGTTCAATGGCTGCTACAGCTCTGATATCCTGGCTGCAATGGATGTTGCAATAAGAGATGGAGTTGACATCCTCTCCCTCTCCCTTGGTGGCTTCCCGTTGCCACTCTTTGATGACTTTATTGCCATTGGCAGTTTCAGAGCAATGGAGCATGGAATATCAGTCATTTGTGCTGCAGGGAATAATGGCCCAATTCAAAACTCAGTAGCCAACACAGCCCCCTGGATTGCTACCATCGGTGCAAGCACGCTCGACCGGAGGTTTCCAGCCGTAGTTCGAATCGGTACCGGAAAACTCCTTTACGGAGAATCATTGTCCCCAGGAAAGCAGATGCCAGGTTCTGGAAGTGAACTTAAACTTGTTTATGTTACCGGAGGGAACACGGGAAGTGAATTTTGCTTAAGAGGGTCCCTCCCAAGATCAAAAGTTCGAGGAAAGATGGTGGTCTGTGATCGAGGTGTGAACGGTAGGGCAGAGAAGGGTGAAGCAGTAAAGGAGGCTGGTGGTGCTGCAATGATACTGGCAAACACAGTGATAAACTTGGAAGAAGACTCTGTGGATGCTCATGTCTTGCCAGCAACTTTGCTTGGCCACGCAGAGGCAATACATCTTAAGGCATACATAAACTCCACCAGGAATCCTAGAGCTCGAATCATCTTCGGAGGAACTGTCATCGGAAGATCAAGAGCACCTGCAGTAGCAGAGTTTTCATCTAGGGGGCCAAACTTATTTGACCCTTCAATCCTCAAACCAGATGTGATTGCTCCTGGAGTTAATATAATTGCTGCCTGGCCTCAAAATCTGGCGCCAACAGGACTTCCAGATGATTCCAGAAGGGTGAACTTCACTGTCATGTCAGGGACTTCCATGGCTTGTCCCCATGTCAGTGGAATTGCAGCTCTGATACACGCAGCACACCCTCATTGGTCCCCAGCTGCCATAAAATCTGCATTAATGACAACTGCTGATACAAATGATCACATGGGGAAACCAATAATGGATGGGAATATGCCCGCAATGAGTTTTGCCATTGGAGCTGGACATGTAAACCCACGAAGGGCAATTAATCCAGGACTAGTGTATGACATTAGGCCAGATGAGTACATTGCTCATCTCTGCACGCTCGGGTACACAAGATCAGAAATCTTCACAATCACACACAAGAATGTTAGTTGCCATGAGGTTCTACTCATCAACAGGGGTTTCAGCCTCAATTACCCCTCTATTTCTGCAGTTTTCAAGCAGGGTACAAGAAGGAAGATGATCACGAGGAGACTAACTAATGTGGGGAGTCCTAACTCCATCTACTCAGTGGAAGTGAAGGCTCCTGAGGGTGTTAAAGTGATAGTCAAACCTCGAAGGCTATTATTCAAGCACATAAATCAAAGTTTGAGTTACCGAATATGGTTTATATCAAGGAAGAGATCAAGCACAAAGAAGATGGACTTTGCAGAAGGGCATCTGACATGGGCGCACTCTAAAAATAACTTCTACAGGGTTAGAAGTCCTGTTTCAGTCACTTGGAAGTAGTCAGGAGCTTGGCTCATGGTTGAAGTATATTTTTATTTTAATTCTATATTCCCTTAGCTAGAGAGGATTGATGCTTATGAATATTTGAGGTTGAAGTTAGTATGCTTAGTTTCAGCATGGAGAAACTCTAAACATATTAGAAAAGTACCCCTCTTCATCATTAAAATGAAGAGAAGTCGGAAGAATAATAGTACAATCCATTCTTCAATATATCAATTGGATTTTCGATACGGAATGCCATCCCTGATATTTGAACTCTGTTCAGCATAAAGAAGAAGAAGCCTATGTCAAGCATATGTAACTTGCATGCTTACATGTTTAATTATGTGAATCAATGTCAAGAAGATAAAAGAAGTTCACAGAAAATGCCCTGCAACAAGAAGCTTGATCTGCAACTTATAAAAAAGTAGACATAGATATCACCAACTATCCTAGCATCTTTCTTTGATCATAATTTCCATCAATGGAATAAGTCATCAAAAGAGAAGTTGCTAGACCTAAGCCCCCTTGATTCATAACCATATGTTGAAAACATAATTGATCATAAGATACCAAGAACGAATGTAGAGGAGAAGGAAGCAATTTGGCTTTTTTCATCAAACTATGTGATTGGACTCAGGACTTCAGCCGTCTAGTTTTACTGGACAAAATTACACTAAATCAGATGAATTTAATACATTGAAGTAAAAGATAAAGACACAAGAAAAGAATGTACATTGCCTCATTTTTTGATGAATTGCAAGCCATTTTCATTAGAGTATCGCTCCATGAATCTCATGAATCTGTCCCACTCTCGGGGAGATCGCATTATATACCTTGCTTCAATCCCTGAAGGCTTTCCGTTGATGAATTTAGCACTCACATCAACTGATTGAAGAACCCCTTCCTCATCAATCATGTAAAAGCCAGTGATTTCACCAACTTCACCAGATGTATCAAAAACAGATGGTTGATCAAATTTGAATAAGGCAACACCATTTGTACCGTCTCTTGACTTGGTTAGCCTCACATCAGGTATCGTCTGTTCATCAGTTCCTTGGATGAACTGAATTGTTGGTTTGACCATCATTATTATGGGTCTAAATGCCCGAGAGCTCCGCCTCATTGGAGCAACCTGTGGGTGAGCCACACGCAAAGATTGTCCATTGAATAGTGAATTTGCACTTCCACAAACAGCCCAGGATGCTAATCCTGCAGAATGAGAAAGAAATTATAATCCAGCTGGATAACCTAGCTAACACATTGAATTGCACTAAATAGGAAAAACAGTCTCAACCATTTCCTCTTAGCTGCTAGTGCTGTAAATTACATTGAAGAATCACCAATACAATCCACAAATAAATAAGAATAGACTTCAATCATGGCTCCTTTAAATAGTTCTGCTTTAAGAAGACCCAAAAGCTGAAACTTGCTCATCAAAGATTTGTTCTTATTAACCACTCATCCCAACAACATTCATCAATATACATACATAAGAAACAAAATCTGTAGATTACCGTTGAACTAAAGAATGCATCAAATTTAGAACACAAAAAATAGAAACCTGAATTCATCCAAATTACAATATTTTCCACATGCAATCCACCATTTTGACGAAGCCCCAAAATATAACAAAATGGAATCAATTCACACAAAATCTCCACCATTCTTTACAGATTCAACTCGAAAGTGAAGAAATTTTAAATTAAAAAACCAAACTTGGGAAGGAAACAGAAATGGGTACCTGAGATAGACCGTGGTTGGTGCTGCAAAGAGCGAGATATAGGAGTAGGGGATGATAGAAGTCCTAGAGACTGGAGGGTTGCCATTGTAGAGGAAGAGAGAGGGAAATAATTAGAAGATGGGTTTTAAAAGGGAGTTGGTGTGGTGAATGGAGAGGATGGTGTGTAAGAATGAGAACCATTCACTGAATTGGTGGAAGAGAGAAGATAGGCATTGTCTTCTCTCCTGTGCTGGTTTGTGTGCAGGAATGTGTGCCTGTTTTGCACAGCAACGGCTGAAAAATATCAGACTGCGGAGCCTGCAATTGGGCATCTCAGATTCACAGAATCTCAGGCACTAAATTATCACTTTCTTTGGGACTTGCCCAAAAAAGGAACGGGCCAGCCTTTGCCTCTTTGGGCTAAAGCATCCAGGCTCCATTGAGTCCATTCTTCTACTAAATTCTAATACCAGAAGAAAATGAAATAAAGAGAGAAAAAAAAAAAAAGTGAGAGAGAGACTTTTCAACAGAAATATTTTTATTGTCCATCTTATACTTAAAAACATTAGTTTGAATAAAAAATATAAAAACATCTTTAATGAATAGTGTTCGATTGCTTCACAAACTCTATTGTTGAGATCATGACATTTTAACACCTGAAAAACTCAAGTATGTTTAATTAAGAAATACATTTTGATGTTTAAGTTTGTAATACTCTATGAGAGAAACTCTTAAGGAGAGTAATTGCAAAGAAAAAAACATAATAGAGTTATTATCTTGTATGAAAATAGTTAAGATATTTATAGAATCCACTTCTGACAATACTTATCAAGTGTATCATGACTTTATTGTTATACCTTTATTTAGTCACATGGGTACACCAAGGTTATTGTGCTTGTACTTTTGAGTCGTGTGTCTTCTGGCCTTCATTATTTATGTTTGGGCCAATCTCCCAACAAACAAGTGGATGTATAAAAAATTTATTGATAGTTTTGTTTTACTTTTTCTTTACTCTAAATTAATGTTTGTAAGTCCAATTCGTTTTAAAAAATTTGTTCTCACTTTCAATTGATTGAAGTGATAGCCAAAGAGAAAAAATGGTTGAAGTGTATAATGAGCGTTTTAGGTATCCTACATCCCATAAGAGGCGTCATGTTCATGTAATGAATATAGAGATTTTTTGAGATGTTAATTTTTTTATTAATTGTGAAAATCGTTACTATCTTATAACAAAATTTTTTAAAAGTAAAAATATAGGCTTGTTTGTTAGTATTGTATTATGCCATACTGTTATATAATGATAGGTTTTTCGTTTTTTATTATTTTAAAATATAAAAAATAGTTAAAATTAATAAAAAATATATATATAATATTAATTAAATTAATTTAAAAAATATATAAATTTATCAATAACTTAAGTAATTTAGTAATCATCTCCTTCCGCTTGAAATAAGAGATTCTAAGTTCGACTCACATTATATGTGGATGAGATAGGATAAAAGATAAAAAATAATTACCTTTCATTGTGTAATTAATATAAAAAAAATTATATATAAATTTATATTTTTAAATAAAGTGTTAGATAAGAATACATATATATGTGTGAGAAGTATCATCAAACCAAACCAAACCATATTCTAAGCGGATGTAAATGGAAATTGAAGGAAGCTTTATTGATATTTTTATTGACATGTAGCT